CCCCCCCCCCCCCCACAAACAACTTGAAACAAACAGTACTCAGGAGAGGATTTGCAAAATCAGATGACCACTTCAGGTTTCCTAACTGAGCAGGAAGAGTTTCAGAAACAGAACCAAACCAACCCCCAAAGAAAGAAAACCTCCAAATATTTTCTGGATTAGAAGGACAGTTTTCCAGAATGAAAGAACCCATGGAGAAAGAACCCAACACAATGACGGAGAGTCATGAAAGAAGGGACATGACTATAACGCTCGGGACAGGAAAGGATATCAAAAGAGAAGATCCCAAAGTTTCTAGAAAGAAAACAATAGTTTCATAGAAAGATTTAAGAATCAGAGTGGCACCAGGCTTTCAGAAAGATGACTGGAAACTAAAAGTCAAGGGATCACCCTCACAGTTCCGAGAGGAGCCTAGGTGCTAATTCCACATTCAGCGACATTATTCATTGTGTTTCGAGGATGGACTACAGAGACTTTTAGGTATGTGTGGTCTATAAAATTACTTCCGTGAACCGTTTCAGACAGTCACCGAGGAAGCAGACAGGATATCAGGAAATAGGGGGATCAGAAAGAGGAGGAAACGGAGGGAAAGGCTGAATGATGTGAGAGTTCTCCAGGATGTCGGCTGAGTGAGCCCTGGCTCAGAGATAAACCAATGCACACTGAAGCACCTCTAGCGGCCCTGGAGGAGAGAAAGGAAGAAAAGAAGGAAGGAAGGAAGGGAGGGAGGAAGAAAGGAAGAAAGGAAGGAAGGAAGGAAAGGAAGAAAGGAGAAAGAAAAGACAAAGTAATTGGGGGCATCTGGGTGGCTCAGTCAATTGAGTGTCTGACTTTGGCTCAGGTCATGATCTCGTTGTCCATGAGATTTGAGCCCCGTGTTGGGCTCTGTACTGACGGCTCAGAGCCTGGAGCCTGCTTCTGATTCTGTGTCTCCCTCTCTCTGCTCCTCCCCTGCTCCCACTCTGTCCCTCTCTCTCTCTCTCTCTCAAACATAAATGTCAGAAAAAACCCCTGAAAATATGTTGAGAAGAAATTTACAGTTAGGAGAGAGTTTGAAGAATAATGAAGGAAGAACTTTAGCGTAATTAGTGTAGTTAATGTAGGCACCTAATTTGGCACCTATTTTATGATCTGTGCTTTACGATCTGGCTCCATGAGCTTGCGAGAGAGAACAGCAAAGCCTAGAAGGGGAAGACTGAAGTTCTCCTCCCGGCCAGAGTATAGCAAGGCCACCTTCCACCAGCTCACAACTTCTGGGATCTCCAGCAGTGCTCCTCGTTTCCAAATATGGGACAGGATTCTCCCAGATGGAAACTCTTTGGTTCTATAGCTTACTGCCCATAAAACACTGGCGTAAGGACAATTCTGAATACAAGGTCCAGCTTCTTAAGTAATGAGTGTCCCTTATGCAAATTATCATTTCCCCAAGTGGACGTGAGCATGCTACCCAATGCAAGCTGTGCAATCCTGCAAGCACAGACCCCGCCAATCCTAGCCACCATCCTTTAGGGAAGTCCTGGAAGCTCCTGATACCTACTCTTAATAATCCTAGTATGCATCTGTCTGTCCATCCGTCCGTCGCTGCTTCCTTTCCTTTATGCCCACAGTGTACTATCTTTCACAATAACCCTGACCCTTTCTTGGTGATAGTTATGGATGCCAGGCACATCTCCCATTTGCCTTTACAAGAAGTAATTTGTCTCCTTGTCCCAATTTTCTCTTTCCTCCACCCTGTGCTGCACACTGCTATGGAATCCATCGACACACGCCCGACAAAATTCTACTGACTGAAGCAGGCTCTTACGTTCAGCAGGTCTTAGAGGCCCAGGCCCTGATCTCACTTTACCCTCCTACTCCTCATGTCTGAGCCCACTGTCCTTCTTCCCTCTAGCAAGACCATTCCTGAACAGTCTTCATGCTCTGCAATGCCGCCCCTGCCCTCACGCTCTTCCCTGTACTCAAAACATCCTTCCCACTGACCACTATCCATCGACACTCCTTCTCCTGCATCCATAAAAATCAAAGGTTGAACTTTTGAGGCTTTTGATCTTACGGGATTCATCTACAGGCACATTTAGCTTATCCCAATTTAGTATTTCACCAATTGGCAGCATTTCTCATAAAAATGGGAATTTCCCACTTCGGTGGAAAAAGAAATCAGAACAGAGTGGCTGGAAATGGGTGGCCATCGCTGCCCGCTTAGACAGTGTGGCTCGCACACACCAGTACCCCAGCCTTTTTCCTGCCTGCTTGGCTCTGGTAGGTTTTGCACCAAAGACCCTCAAAAAAAGCTTACTTATTCTTTAAGATCTAATCTAGTTTCATAGACTCTGTGACTCCAGCTGAAAGTAAGGATTCTGAAAGGCTTTGGGCTTCATTGTGAGTGATACAGGCCAACAAAATTGCTCTTGGAAATCTGGTGTGCTTTATGCATACAGAAACCCTCAAATAAAAGCTTCCTGCCACCTAAGAAACAAACACCTTTGTGTTTTGTGAATGGGGGAGAAAGTTCCCATACCATCTGACCTTTGTGAGTGGCTTGCATTCTTAAACGAATGAGCAAATTTAGGCCAAATATCAAAACCAAAATGGGACTTTAAGATAGAAGAAGAAGGAGGGCACCTGGGTGGCTCAGTTGGTTAAATGACAGACTCTTGGTTTTGGCTCAAGTCACAATTTCACAGTTCGTGAGTTAAAGTCCCATGTCAGGCTCTGCACTGATAGTACTTGGGTTTCTCTCTCTTTCCCTCTTTCAAAATAAATAAACTTAAAAAAAATATAAGAAGAAAGAAGCTACATGACCAGAAAAACCTCTGTACTATTTTACTTTACATCATTGGAATAGTATCCCAGTTAAGAGTATGGGCTTTGGAATCAAATGGCTTGAGTTCAAACCTTGGCCGGGTTATTTATTCTTACTATGTGCTGGCAATTTCACTTACAAATGGAAATCAAAAATGATTTCCAATAACCATTAACAGGCTATTTGGAAAGTTACTATCCTCTTTGGAAATACGATGTTAGGGCGCCTGGGTGGCTCAGCTGGTTAAACGTCCGACTTCGGCTCAGGTCATGATCTCATGGTTTGTGAGTTCAAGCCCCACATCAGGTACAGCACAGAGCCTAGAGCCTGCTTTGGATTCTGTGTCTCCCTGTCTCTCTGCCCCTCCCCCACTCCTGCTCTCACTCTCAAAAAAATAAACATTAAAAAAAAATACAGGTGTTAATTGCAGACTGTTCTGAAAAGCATCTTGCTCTCCCAAATCACATTTAGGAAAAAAAGTGAACTCTTAGTAGGAGATCTAGAAATCACTGCTAAATAATGTGTCTTGTAAAGGTTCCCTTGAGAATAGATAATACTCTAAGTATGCTGTATGCATTTTATATAACCAACGAGGATTATAGCTCACATTCTTGATCGTTTCCAGAACATGTCTAACACAAAGACTAAGATTTCCAACGTAGCCTCACTCCCTTCTCAAAACAATCTACTTTTGTAAATTCATATTCGATCCTGTCCTACGACCTGGCAGGAAACACCTTGTCAGTGGGCGCTAATCTGCGAGCATATATTTTGAAAAAGTGACTCGAATTAAGATGCTAAGTGTGAAAGGTTACCGTTGATGTAGGCACACTGGTTTTCTCTCAAGATTCTTTCCGACTTCTTGACCATCTCGTTGGATTTTTTGTCAGGCCAGGCAAATAATGTCTCCTTTAGGTTTCCCTGTAGCATCTTCAGAAAGCAGTGCGAGTCAGTGTGATCATGGATACTGCTACAGATACACAAAGACAGCTGAGCTCAGTAGATGGTCCAGGATCCACACGTGCAGTACTGTCTGCCCACAGCTTACTGCTGCAGACTATCATGAGGACAGGTCACAAACCACCTTAGTGGCATTTGTAAATGTCATCAATTTATAATTAACATTGTTCAGAGCAACATATAAAATACAGTAAAACTTTGGGGTGCGAGTAACTTGTTCTATGAGTGTTCTGCAGGATGAGCAAACATTTATTTTTTTTTTAATTTTTAAATGTTTATTTATTTTAGAGAGAGAGAGAGAGAGAGAGACAAAGCGCCAGTGGGGGAGGGGCAGAGAGAGAGGGAGACACAGAATCTGAAGCAGCCTCCAGGCTCTGAGCTGTCAGCACAGAGCCCGACATGGGGCTGGAAGTCATGAACCATGAGATCATGACCTGAGCCGAAGTTGGATGCTTAATCGGCTGAGCCACCCAGGCGCTCCAATGAGCAAACATTTCTAATAAATTTTAACTTGGTAAACAAATGACGTCACATGATCACAACTGAGCCCATCGTTATTGAAATTGGCTTTGATATACAAGTGCTTTGGATTACAAGCATGTTTCCATAATGAATTATACTCACGAACCAAGGTTTTACTGTACTATGCCTTTCATATCAAGGCACATACAGCATCCTGTTGGGATGTATAACCGCAGTAAAAAAACAGTTCATTTAAAAAAATCAGGTTGTGATACTATGGTAACAGAAACACAAAACCAGCAAACTTTGATCTTCTCCAAAAAAATAGCTTTGTAAAAAATTTTTTAAATGTTTTTTATTTCTGAGAGAGAGAGAGAGAGAGAGAGACAGCATGAGCAGGGGAGGGTGAGAGAGAGAGTGAGACACAGAATCCGAAACAGACTCTAGGCTCTGAGCTGTCAGCACAGAGCTCGATGCAGGGCTCGAACTCACGAACTGGGAGATCATGACCTGAGCCGAAGTCGGACACTTAATCGACCGAGCCACCCAGGCACCCCGAATATAGCTTTTAATAACTCAGTTAAGCTGGGCTACAACTTGATTACACAATTATATTAGAAAAATTCTGGAAAGAATAAAGATAATTATCTATAATAACTGTGTCTCACTTGTAAGATCATGCAACATATAGTGGGTTTTTTTTCCCCTCACCCCAGGCCTTTTCTCTCTTCTCCTTCCTTTGGGGGACAAAAGGTATGTGTATGGATGAGAACACCCAGAAGTTCTACTGCAATAATGCTAACCTTCTGTAGATTTAGATTATTCCACCTGTGATTAACTCACAATAATGGAGGGAGAAAAAAGTAAATTGGATTTGTGGGAAATATTTATTCATGTACTCGTAAATGGTATTTAAGTTTATTAAATAGTATTAGCCGTAGAGTTGATTAAAAGAAGCTGTATATGCCATTAGCATTTATTTCCTATGTTGAATTCATAAAACTGTAAGAACTCATAAAACCCTAAGAACTCACAAAACTGTAGGAACTCATTTCCTAAACCCACAGAGCCTAGTCCTGTCCCGACATATATATGCTTTCAAAATATATTGGGAGTGAATGGAAACAACTTCATTCCATGAGTAAATAAAGGTCCTCTATGGACCTAACTCCCCTCCCCCATCTCATAAATTCAGGCTTCCTTTCTCTCATCAGAAATGGGTCTGCAATTTTGGTTTGTATTGTTCTCAAAAGACTGAGAAGGATCTGTTTACAGAGATAACAACTCAAAAATGTACCCACTAACGACAAATGAAGGAACCAAGTTTCAAAGAATTGGTGTTAGTTTAAGCTGCCTCACCCTCTACATAAAAACTTAAAAAGGGAACTAAAAAATAACAGTCAACAATTAACTTGAAGTAGAAAGAACTTTTCTGAACTGGTGAACTGCTTTTCTAGGTCCAAATGTGGACACTTTGGTCTTCGGTCCTGCAATTGTGTGCATACTTCAAAGCACCGCGAAGGTCAAGTTTTAGCAAAATTCCATATATACTTAATGCCACAGAAGACTGAGAGACGAAGTTAAACTGGCTGCAGACCTCCTTTGATTTACTACTCATTTAGGGGGCTGGTTTTGACACCCATGGTGTATGCCTAGCCCTCTTACCCCGATTCCCATGAGAATTTCTGTTGGGACACTGAACAAAATAACTGTAACATGAGATGTGTCAGCGCTCCCAAGATCTGTGACCATTCTGGCACCGCACTTGCCTTAACGCTGGAATAGAGAATTTAAGTATTTGCAAATGAATAATTGTATTACCTGCCATGTCCTTCACCCCAGCAGAGAATCATGAGATTAAATTTTCCATTTCCTTCATCCACAAGATTTCGAGTATACCTACAAGGAAGGTATTCAGAAGTTTGAATTGGGTTGATGAAAAAACCGGGAAAAAGAAGTGTGTCACAAGAGCATGGCTCATTTACAAGTGCTAACATTTATTCCTCTAAACAACTTAAAATGAAAACAATTTTTCACAGGGCATTTTGGACATTTTTGGATTTTGAATCACCACGTTTCTAGCTGCTTTTCATTAACAGCAGAAAGAAGGTAACAGGGGAAAGGAAAGCAAATTCCTTGATTCTTCACGTGATTGCCTGAAACTGATAAAAAAAAGAGTAAGTTTCTCACAGAGGTTACTTGTAAAGGGCATTGCTGCTGTACACAAGAAAGTTGCTATTTTTTTCTCTTGTAGCTAAACCGTAAGAAACAAGGTTCATTACATAGCTGTTTTTAGAATTCTCCTTAATTTTTGCTGTAGCCCAGACACAAACCACATTCAAAAGCACTGATAATGAAAAGTCCTCCACAGATAGGGTGGGGATTGATTTAAGTATACAACAGAGGAAACTACATGAGGGAAGTAAATGACACTCTAAACCTATTCCAGGAGAATCCAGTAATTGGCTGCCCCCAAAATCCCAAATCAAAACCACTACAAGCATACCATCAGAAGGAAAAAAAAAAAAACCCACTTTCAAGTTTCTATTGGCCAAAGGAGTGTCACCCAGGGGTCCCTGGGTGGCTCAGGCAGTTAAGTGTCCAACTTGGGCTCAGGTCATGATCTCACGGATCATAAGTTCAAGCCCCACGTCAGGCTCTGTGCTGACAGCTCAGAGTCTGGAGCCTGCTTCTGATTCTGTGTCTCCCTCTCTCTCTGCCCCTCCCCTGCTCATGTTCTTGTCTCTGTCTCTCAAAAATAAACAAACATTAAAAAAAATTTTTAAAAAAGGGGGGTATCATTCATATCATCTAATTAGTAAAGTCTGATACTTATGACATTTGTTTAGATTTATTTTTTAAGACAAGGACTCTTTACCCCATATTTGGGGTAGTGTTTGATCACATAGTCATCTGTTCCCTTATGTCCCTAATGCTCCTTCTTCCCCTTTTCTCTTACAAGGCAGGAGGCCAGGTGCTGGCAGAGAGAGAGAGAGAGAGTTGATTAGGAAGTGCTTTTCAGAGGTCAGTCATCCTAACTTTGTAGCCCTTGATGACCTAGCTAGGGGCTGTGCACACAGCCTGTAATTCACGATAAACTCCATTTTGTTATATACACACATACATACTCTTTCTCTCTCTACCAGTCTCAGGGGCACCCCTGTTGCTTTTCTGGGACTGGTCCCAGAGAAATTAATGTCTGGCTCACCCTGGAACATATTCTGTCCTGGTTCTTCTGCACTGGCCTTCCCAAGGTCAGAGATCAGAATCCTTTGCAGGGCTAGGATACCTATTCCACACACACACACAAAAACACTACCCAAATGATTTCTGCTCTCCCACATTTCTCCCTCCACACTTCCCCAACTGCCCACCCATTTATCTTCATTAGTTGCGCCCTGCATACCTGTGCAATAGATCAATCCAAATGCTTGCATCTCAAGTGATTCAATTAGAGCTTGTCAGTCAAGATGAATTCAAAGCCCTGGGAAATGCCATTGTTCTACAGATTCAGAGCCCTCAGCCTACCCGGGTTGATGAATTTCACTTGGTCACTAATATAACTACCCTGAAAGCAAACTATTAAGGCATCATGTGTCTGCAGAAAGTTCAGCTGTTGTTTGGAGGAAGGGCTCTGGAACAACAATGCTAATTTGAATCCTGGGGCCGCTACCTGATACAAGTATGACCGATGTATCTAATCCAATCTTTTTATTAATGCTTACGATTCCTCAGCTGTAAAAAAAAAAAAAAGGGTAAGAAATTGTACCTATCTCACAGAGCTGTCATGAGGTACATGAATAAATACAAGAGTAAGGTAAAGAGTACCTGGCCTATAATAAACCCTTGCTTACTTGGAGCCAGTGGCAAAATTAAAGAGTGGTCTCCGGTACCTTATTGGCAACCACAGAAGGACAGAAACCAAAGGAATTTCCTGGAGCCATTGCAAGCAGCAAATGGGATCTTAGAAAGGCTTCACTTTTTTATTTCGAGCCCTAAAATGCAGAGGAAACAGCCCTTGCTGACAAGCACGCTACCTATGTTTAGGTGAGGTGACTAACAAAAACTGCTTCCAAGGAACATAATCTCTGTTTATTCTTATCTTTCAAGGATCTTCCTCTCCCTAACCTCAGCCCGATCAGCCATAAAGACTGAATCGCTAGCTGCTCCTGGAAAAGAAACCCCCACCCTTCAGGGTGAGTCAGTTTTACTTCTGGCCCCTCAGACTTGTAGGGAGATCCACTTGTACTTCTATCACCAAGCCAGGGCTGCCACGGACCCCCTCGCACAACCCCATTTGGGTAGCAGCGGTCTTCGATTTACATTCCAGGGCCTCAGAACCGAGGATTCGAGAAAGCACATTGCTTGGGGGCTCAAAGAGCCCTTCAACTCACACCCCTGACGGTGGGTTGAAATAAACCCGCAGGAGCGCCTGGCTGGCTCAGTCGGTTAAGTGTCCCACTCTAGCTCGGGTCATAATCTCACGGTTCACGAGTTCGAGCCCCGAGTGGTCCTCTGTGCTGACAGCTTGGAGCCTGCTTCAGATTCTGGGTCTCCCTCTCTCCCTGCCGCTCCCCTGCTCACGCTCTTTCTCTCAAAAATAAAGAAATACTTAAAAAAAAAAATAAATAAACCCGCAGTCTGTAAAGTTAAATGGGTTTGGGATGGGCAGCACTAGTTGAAAAACAGCAGCTGGTAACCGGCAAAAATGCGCGATGGCGGCAGGTGCCTGGCTGCAGGCGATCCAGTGATGGAGAACTGCCGTGGGGGGAAGCGAGTCCTTCAGCCGTCACCCCTGTGTCCCGGGGGCACGCTCCTTCAGTCCGGCCACTCGGTCCCTTCGGGCGGCGGGCCATGCGGAGCCTGAGTGCTTGGGGCCTCCGGTCCCCCTACCTCGTGTCGCCGCGTCCGAGGCGAGCGACAGAGCCAGAGGGCAGGGCATTGCTCCCGAGCCCGAGAGAAGATGGAGCGGCGAGAAGAAGGCAAAACCGTCTGCGGCCGCGCGGTGGCCTCCGCACCCGGAGCCCGCCGCAGTCTCCGGCCAGGCCGGGATGATCCACTTTTGGCCCAAAGCGCCGAGCCGAGGGCGAGCAGGCGTAGCAGCTGGAGGCTGCGGGAAAGGCTGGCGAGCGGCGGGCCCAGGGAGGCCAGGCCCTTCCTCCCCTCGCGCCCTCGGATCCCTCTTTGTACCCGGGTCCCGCGCCGGGGCTCCCGCAGCCAGGGCTAGGGCGCGCGCTCACCTGTACTGGTCGAACTTGGCGTAGGCTGCCCACTCGGCGGGGTCGCTCTCGTAGGCTTCCATGACGGCCTGCACCTCCTCCACGTTGACCTCCTCGCCGGCGAAGAGCTGGTGCAAGATGCGGATCAGATCGGCCAGGGACCGCGGCTTGAGCACCTCGGTCTGCTCCATCCCTCGCCGAGTTGGCTGCGCGCGCGGCTCTCCGCTTCGCTGCGGTGAGGGGGCTGAGCGAACAGAGGAGCGGGGGGCGGGGGACCTTAACAGCCGGCTGGACAGCTACCCACGCGCGCGCGCGCACACACAGAGCCCCCGAACGCTCGAGTGCCGCAGCCTAAGAACCGCCCCCGCCACTAAGATATCAAGAGACCCCTCGACGTCCCCCAGCAGCTTGGCAGATCCGGGAAAGCAGTGGATGCGAAGCGCACGCAAATCAGGACCAAATGTGCTGGGTTGGGCGGCCCCGGCCCCTTTTAAGCTCTCGAAGCCGGCGGGACTGTACCAACGGCTTTCGGTGGGTGGGGAGAGGCTGGGAGCGATCTGGGCAGCGGGGCGGAGGCGGCGACAGGTTGCGGACAAGGTCCACGCACGCGGCCCCGCGCCCTCCGGCCCCGCAGCGCTGCCGGGGAGCCCCCGTCTCCGCGCCCGCGCGCTCGAGGTGGGCTTCGCGCGGGGTGTCCCCCACCTCCGCACGGCGCCTTGCGTCCGCCCATCCCAGCCCCTCTCCCAGCGCCCCCACCGCTCCCGCCCCCAGCTGCTCTAGGAGGCTCCCCTCCGCCTCTGTGGCTGGCGACTCAGGGACTGAGACCGAAGGGATCCGGAGGAGGTTGGGGGGAGCCAGTGGAGGGCGAAGAAGGAGAGGGACCCTCGCTTCCAAACTGAGCTGGGATTATGGTTGAGGATGGAGTGCCCTCTCTAGCTGGAGAGCTACTGTTTGTCGATTGAAACTATCCATAATGTGCTCCAGGCTAGTTGCGGGGGGTGGGGGGGGCGTCGGCGGGGCGGAATAGAGGTCTTTCTTGAAAAAAAAAAAAAAAAAAAGAAATGTACTGTACTGAAAGTACATTTTCACAAAGGACATTCGGGTCTCGAGCAAGACTAGTGAAACGAAGGAAAGTCACGTATCCCTGATTTTAAAACCAAATATTTCCTTTAGGATAAAATATATTCGGTGCAAAGACCTGATGGGTCAATTAATGGTGAAAAGAAATGCTGTTCTGGGCTCCTAATGCAATAATTCGTAGGGTTCTAATTATACTATTAAACTCAAATCTAGGCGTGCGCTCAAATGAGCCTATTGGTTAGCGAAACCCATTTTCTGTGCTGTGCACAGCCCGTGACATGCTTTGTGAACAACACAAATTGAGTGTGAATGAAAATAAATGTGAGGGACAGAAGAAATCCAAGTCTAGATTCATTCTTTCTCATTATAAACCAACCCAGGGAATAATTTGAATTCAGGGTTATTAAAGGCCTAAATTTATGAAAGGTTGGTCTCTCCTCTCTACTTCTACTTTGCATCGATGTATGTGTCTATATATTTACATTTACTTGTGCCGCCTATGGTCTTATTTTATTTGTTTAAGTTTATTTTTTGAGGGAGGGAGAGAGAGAGAGAGAGAGAGAGAGAGAGAGAGAATCCCAAGCAGGCTCTGTGCTATCAGCTCCGAGATCACGAGTCTGAAGCTTAACCTTGAGAGCCACTGAGGTGCCCCCTACGGTCTCATTTTAAACATCCCAGGTTAAACTGATCACACTGCAAGTATTCTAACAATGTTGTTAGGAAATAAAAATGACAGTTCAATCCCCTTGTTCAAAAAGGAGTTGAAAGCACTCCAGAAGCCAATCTTTTGTGATGTATGTCGCTGAGAGGTGGTTAATTGGGGACAGAGTACATCATACAGTTTTTATTGTTCACTCAAAGTGATCTTTTTATTCTTGTCACCGTTTTCTTCTGAGTCTCTTAATTGCTCCATTTCAGCTATCTTAATCTCGCTTCACTGGCACCCCTTCTTGACTTTCAAAGACTTCAGGAATCGACTTACTATACCCATATCCACACGTTCATAGTCATTGCCTCTCTTCTCTAAACCTTCGTGCAAACTCACAGTTTCATTGGTCACTTCTGTGCAGATGCCTCCCACATCTCCCTAACTTTACAGGCTGAGAGCAATCTCTACTTAACAGCTTTTGGCATTTAAATGCAAGATATTTGAAATTCCTTCCAAGCAAGCTTTTCAACTCCTGGAGTTTCTATTCCTTTTTTGTTTTTGTTTTTATTTATTTATTTTAAGATAGAGAGTGCGGGTGGGGCGAGAGAGAGGGGGAGAGAGAATCCCAAGCAGACTCTGCGCTGCCAGCACAGAGCCCGAAGTGGAGCTCAAGCCATGAGATCTAACCTCAGTGGAAAACAAGAGTTGGATAATTAACCTAACCGACTGAGCCACCCAGGCGCCCCTGGAGTTTGTTTCTGCAATGAGGCCACCTAGGCTCAAAATCCACACCCACCACTGCCTACCCTTTCTTTGATTCATTCTCAAATCCTTCAACCTGATGGCAAATTTTGTGCCTCCATGTATTTTGTGATTTCCTGCTTTTCTATTCTTATTGCTACTATACTTGGTCAAGCCTCTATTTTGGCTGGATTATGGTACTGACCTCCTAGACTGGAGATTTCTTGGTTCCCCCCCCCACCCTCCCACCCCCAGTTCTTGTCAATCTTTTCTTCACAGCCACTAGATTCATTATCCTAAGGCAACAATCAATGTTGTTTCCCAGACAATTTCAATAGCCCTTGTTTCCAACACACATGGCTTGTGAGGCTGCCATTTGACGTTCTCCACCTTTTGGTTCTAAATTACATTTTTCATCTTTCACCTTTTGCCTTTTTTTTTTTTTTGGCAACTATATCTTCCAGTGAAATGAAATTAGTGACTATTTCTTGTGCTTACCCAATCCATTCTTTTGCTTAAGCTTTTCCTTCTGACTAGATTCTTGAAGGCTGTTTCCATGTCCAAATCTTAAGGACTTACTTAGCTCAAATGCTTTCCTTTCAAATAAGCTGTATCTCTCCCTGAACTGGTACAATAATCAGTATCTTTTTTAGGGCACTTAACTATATGCCAGAGCATGTATCGCAGTTGCTACGTGCATCCTCTTAACAGGGAGAACCTTTAGGACAGACTCTATTTACGTTTTGTTTTTATATCCCTCTCATTGTCCAGCACACATTGGCTTGTGTATGCATGGATGGCAAAGTTAGGAAAAACATAGGTGATTGGCTAGAGTAACTGAATTGCTAGTTTTTCTTTAGGGATCCTGGAGTAGTGAATTCAAACCCAAGGGACTTGTTGTTTTCAAGAGTTTTTGGATTCTCTGCAAAGGATGCCCGAATTCTTCCGGGGGGAGGAGGAAGAGGGAGAAGAGGAGGAAGAAGAGGGGGAGGAGGATGAACAGGGGAAGGAGGGGGAGGGGAAGAGAAGGAGGAGGAAGAGGAGGAGGAGGAGGAGGAGGGGGAGGAGGAGGAGAAGGAGAAAGTGATTGCCATTACAGGCTCTGTTAACGTAAGTAGAATGCCTGGGTCCAGGGATGTAGGTCCACTGCACTTTGCATTGCCAAGGGCGAGGATCATCACATTTTCAGACATTGACATAGGGTAGGTATCCAGAGAAAGGAATAAGAATTATTACAGGTCTGGAAATCATGGTCTATCCATCCACTCAACACATTTTTAAAAGCATGTGCTGGATGCCAGGCACTCCTCACAAAACTAAGTCTTTGCCCTCACAGGGCTTATGCTCTAATAAGGTAGGGGTGGGAGGGGTAGACACTGCCAAGAAATATTACAATATACAGGGAGAGATGGATACACAATGTACACAGATATATAATGGAGAAAAATAAAGCCGAAGCTGGGTGGAGGGTGGTGAGGAACTGTCACTTTAGGGGAGTTAGGTATTTCAGCTGGGGCTGAAGGAAGTCAGTAAACGTGCAGTTGTCTGGGGGAAGTTTCCAGATAGAGGAAACAGTTAAGTGCAAAAGCCCTGGGAGGAAGCACTAAGTGCTTGATGAACATGGACGTGGGTGGCAGGGTGTGGAAGTAGGGACTACAAATCACATAGGCCCTCGGAGAACAATGGAAACCATTCAGGGATTTTGGCCAGAGAGCGAGCAAATCAAGGGAAGCCAATTAGCAATTAGCTGGCAATCAGAGTGAGAGACACTCTTCAGGGCAGAAGGGAGGCAAAATGGTCGTGTTGGAAGGTAAAGCTGTCAGGATTTGCAGAGAGATTTGGAAGTTAGAGATTTGGGTTGTTAGAGAGGGATCAAGAATGAGTCTCATAGACTGGAAGGAACAGATTTGCCACTAAGAGAAGATTTAGGAGGACTGGGGAGCAGGGGTGTGTGGAAAAAGATAAGCTTTCGAGATCTAGATACTAGAACTGGGAACACACAGAAAAGGCAGGGGGGAAGACAAGACCACAGAAGACCATTTTCTAAGGAACTGAGCCATGTCAAAATGGACAGGGCCTTCTTTGTGGCAACCAGGACAGGTCATCACCGTACACTTCCTGTGTATCTGATAGGAGGACACAGAAAGAACTGGATTTATAAGGACTCTTCTAACCTGAGATTCCACCCACTCACAAACATTCATGTTTTATTTCTCATTATTATGAAAGAAAAGCGAGATAAATCTAGTATCTGGTATCAAATCTTTTTGCTTTTCACTACTTCTAAAAATTCAATTTAAAAAATTTCAAGATTCCAATTTCAGTCTAAAAATCTGCCTAATTAGAACAAAAGTGCCGAGAATAGGGATCCTGTCTTTCTCTGAAGCTGAGGGCCTAACAGGAACTTATTTGGTTTATGAAGGAACCAATGGAAGGTACAAATCAGAGTTTCATTTCAAGGCTTTTGACAGGCTTTGCTTAACTGCCCCTTGAAAATGTATGTAGTGCCCAGTTCGTCTTCTGAGCACTAAGAACAGGACAGGATTTATTTCCCCACAATTTTGCCAGTACTACAAGTACAGTGCTTTCTGTGATGCCCACTGGTACAGGTGACAATTGGCATCTCATAGTTTTTATTTGCATAATGGGGTTTTGCCCTTTTTGTGCTTTATTAAGCATCTCTATTTTTAGTTTTTGAAAAAATTTTTAAAATATTTTTATTTATTTCTAGGAGAGAGAGAGAGAGAGACAGCGTGAGCAGGGGCGGGTCAGAGAGAGAGTGAGATACAGACTCTGAAATAGGCTCCAGGCTGGCAGTCAGCACAGAGCCCGATGCGGGGCTCGAACCCATGAACCGCGAGATCATGACCTAAGTGAAAGTCGGACGCTTAACTGACTAAGCCACCCAGGCGCCCCAGTTTTTGAGAATTTTTAATTCCAGTATAGTTAACAGTGCAATATTAGTTTCACGTGTACAATATGGTGATTCAGCACTTCCGTATGTCACAAGTGTCCTCTTTAATCCCCATCACCTATTTCATCCACTAACCCCCACCTTGAATTTTCTTTTATGAATGGCATTTTAATGTCTTTTGCCCATTTTCCAGATGCCTTATTCTCAATTAAAATGAGTTCTTTATGCATACTGAATATTCAAACCCTACATACGTTGCAAATAATTTCCTTTATCTTTTCCCATACAAAAATTTAAAAATATTTCCTTTACTGTTGTTTTGCTAGATTAAATATTTTAAAGCCACATTTAAAAAGTTCACTCACTCATGCCACTTGGGTGTCTGCCCGACTCTTGATTTCGGCTCAGGTCATGGTATCAGGGTTTGTGAGATAGAGCCCTGCATCAGGCTCTACACTGGGCTGTGCATGGAGCCTGCTTAAGATTCTCTTCCCCTGCCCCTCCCCCATTCATGTGCATGTACAGGCTCGTGTTCTCGCTCTCAAAAAAAAATTCACTCAGTCAGTATACAGTAAAACCTTGGCTTGCAAGCATAATTCATTTCAGAAACATGCTGGTCATCCTAAGCACTTGTATATAAAAGTGAATTTCAAGAGCCATTGGCTCAGTTGTGATCATGTGACATCGGCGATTCGTACTATTTCGATCACAAGACATCATTTATCAAGTTAAAATGTATTAGAAATGCTTGCCCGTCTTGTGAACATGTGCTGAACAAGTGACTCGCAATCCAAGGTTGTATCATATAGTGAATTGCTGATTATACATGTATAAGGAAATATATTGAACATCATGACAAACGTGAAAGGTGTTATACACGCATGCTTATAACAAAGCATACAGGAAGAGCTGAAAGAGTGGAAGGTGCTGTGAGTGATCTCATGATGAGGGGGGTGGGAGGTGCCCTGAATGATTCAGACAGGCTTTGAGGAAAAGTTATGACTGAAATGAGGCAGAGAGGTAGGGCTTTCAGAGGGGGAGGTCTCAGTACACGTCTAGAAGTGGATCGCATACACAGATGCAGGAGACGGAGCACAAGGCCTGTTGGGGCGACAGGGAATAGTGCAGTGTGGGTTGGCTGCGGAGCGGACTTGAGTGCTTTCCCTTCCATGATGCGGTCTGTGGCTGACTTCCCTAGTGCAGGATGCTTACCCTTTATATTATAATCTTTGGAGCACGATGCAGAAGGTGCAGGAAAGGGGATTTTCATTTTCACAGCCCTTCGACACCATGACCCTCCCGCTCTGGGCTGCACACAAACGAATCTGGCTGACTAGTGTCCCATAATCTAAGGAGCGGTCTGCACTTTGTTTTCTGATCTGGTTAGAGTAGATGTTTAAGGTCCCTTGAGGGTTGAAACACCTAGAAAATTGTAGATTCCACGAGGTAGCAAATCTTATTTTGATTGCAGATAAAAGTCTCCGCGTACCTTATACCCTAAATGTGGAGGATCATTATCAAATCCTTGGCACTGGTGGCTTCAAAGACGGAAGCACAATATTCCATCATGATACATGTCCTGTGTGCGGTGGGTCATCTTTGCGCAAGATAAGGCATGAAGTTACTGACATCGATTTCCTCATAAACATGGAAAACTTAAGCAACTGTAAGGTTCGGGCTTCCCGTCCCCAGACTCAGTTATAATTAAGGTAGTTTAAACCAAATAATTGTAAAATATCTGTGCAGTGTGTTTTAGTTTCTAGCCACTCAGTAACTTGTGAGATCCAGGCTTAAAAATTAACTGTTGCAGAGTTAGCACAGAATGATTAAATCCTTTGGGTAAGGATTTAAGAGATAATAATGTAAATAAGGTTTGAAAAATATGTAAAGCCCCAAATATTCTTCAAGGTTATAAGGGATGAAAACAAGTAAGGTATGCATATTTAGCTACCCTTAGATTTAATGTTATTTAGATCAAAAAAGAATAATCAAGTTGATGTCACAAAGTCAAACTCAAGCAGTTTTGATTGCTGAGGTAGTAAATATTCTATCCGAAAACTTACGGGAAATTTAATATAATTTAAACACATTTTTGCTACACACATGCATATAAATAATTATATCCACACGCTTCAGTAACTATAAGTGGATAAAGTCAGAGATCAGATCTTTTCCAAATCCAACTTATTTGACTCGAAAATAAGACACTTCCCAGCTTTCAACATACATGTAAATTTCTTACCTAGTCTTACCCAGATAAATTTGCCTAATTCCCCCTGTACTATTCCAGCGCTAACTCCGAACTACATAATTTAGGACACAGGGACACTGGTATAAGGGCACTTCAGAATTCATTCTTAGGAAGAATGAATATGGAAGAGAGATTTCATCACTATAAATGGAACTGTTCCTTCGCATGCCTGAGTGCTAATATACGGCAGATCATTAACCATACAGCACGTTGTGGGATTTAAGGGACAAGAGTGTAGTTCAAAGTCTTTTGATAAAATCATAATTATCTTTGAAAATAAACACTCAGAATTCTCATCCACGTATTAGCTCCTGTATGAACATTCCATTTCATTTATTGGAATGCTTTTTTGAAATGCTGCATTACCGTAATAGTACAGAATGATATAATACAGTATTTCACCTGAAAGCAATTACCAGTCTTATAGCATCAGGAAAAATGGTTCTTTTAGTCACAGAATGAAATACACAAAAATCCCAAGGCTATGTTACTCTCTGAGTCTTTTCAGGATTGAAAACGGATTATAAAAAACTCAAAAGACGTTCCCGGGTTTACTCATTACTGTAAAAATAAGACACAAAACGACACTACAGTTACAACCATTAGGACGCAATCATTAAATGATAGGACTAAAGAGCTATATGACTCAGTTGCCAGAATTTGTAACATTCCTTCTGTTTCCCCATAAAATAATTGTAAACCACACACATTCTCTAAAGCAGCCTTCCAGTGGGTCAACACACATGCTCTCTGCGCTAGACGTTTGCTACAAAATAGGAGGAACCGCTTCTTCCCTCCATTATCATCTGGAAAAAATGTAAAACCAAACTGCTGGAATCGTTCCGCCAGCTAGGCTGCGCCCCCTACTGGACGATGTGCACTATAAAGCCAGCCCGTCCATGTTATTACTTCCTAACACTGTAGATCTGAATGTATAGAAGAAAAGGCCTAACCCCTACCTCACTGAACTTCCCTGAACACACACGAAAAGAATCCCTTAGTAAACTGACTTTTACAGTGGAAAAAAATCAGCAGACAGAGTGTTCATTCTACAAGTAAACAATTTCAGTCATTGAGAACTGGTAACGAAGAAGCTTTCTACAGCCTGAGTCTCCTTTTCAATACATTGGAGGCAGATTTGGAGCAACAGCTGTAGTAATGGGTATACTCTAAAGTCAATCTTCTATGATGATTTGTGTATTAGTACAAATCACATTTTTGTGAGTCCATCTACTCTATGGATTTCTTTAGGCATAAACAGGAGTCACAGTAGAAACATGCTGGGAAGATCACATACACAAGTCTCTTGTCACAAGCATCAGTGCTTTTTCCAAGGCTGTTTCCTTTGCGAAGACTCATTTGGGTAGCAAGGTCTTTCCTCTGCTTCATCCCCAGGCCTGAGATTTGCAGTAGTGTAGGACCAGTTTACCATCACTGCCAAAACACTACAAAAGAAAAAGGGAAAAAAAAAAAAGGCACTATATTAAACTCAATTTTTGATATTCCTACATAAAACTACGAAAAAAGTTATATATATTATAAACCTTCTGGTACATGTAAGTTTTCCGTAAGACTATTCCTTTCAACAGGTCCAGGTTACTCGCGGACACATATCAGTATCATAAACATTGAATAAAACCTAGTATTTTAGGCATGGCTGGGCTTGCATTTTATCTTGTCCATCTCTGACTGTAAGGTATGTACTGTTTCCTAGCAGTGGTGCTACGATGCACACTCGAATGATTATGACCAGTAACTCGTAAGAGTGGGGAGTAAGAAGGTCATTGTTACGTCGTCTTCCTTTTCAGCGCCTCGGGAGGCAGATCTGGATTACTGTACTTCACAGCCATCTCCTGTTCATTTTATTCATTTCCTAATTCCGCCATCACTGTATGAGATCCAGCTATGTTCAAAGTGTTAGAAGACGACAAGAAAGTAATCTCTTCTTTCACACCAACTAAGAATGGACTATCATCTCTTAAAACGTTGTCAGTTAATGATCACATAATATATACAGATGTGCAGACTCCATTAAGAAAGCAGAGCACTGGGGTGCCTGGGAGGCTCAGTCGGTTAGGTCATGATCTCATGGTTCTGAGCTGTCAGTGCAGCACCTGCTTCAGATCCTCTGTCCCCCTCTCTCTGCCCCTGCCCCCACGAGCAAGTGCACAGGCCCAGGTGTGCTCCCCCAAATAGATAAACTTAAAAAATATATTAAAAAAAAATAAAGGAAAGAAAACAAAGCACTGATGTTTTTACCTCATAGAGAGTTCCAACCTCCTGGTCTGGGGAGGGTGCAAAGGACTGATTCACATAAATAAACTGCGAGAAAGAAGAAAAAAGGTGATTCATGTTTAATGGTATCCTGATGAATCTGCACTTTCCTGGGTTCCAATCATTCAGCTATTTCAAGTTGTCTTCAGAAGTGAAAACAGCTTCCCTAAACTCCTTCTAATACTAATAAATCAGTCAACCCAATGAGAGCTTTAAAAGATCAATTATGTCTTTCCTCTGGGTGAATACACGTAACAAAATTTCTGGTCCTACAATGTGGTTCCCAACTTTTTATAACTAAGAAACCTTTAAATACTGTCTTTACAAATAGCATTTGAAGGTTTATTCAAGAAACTCCTAGAAATATAAATTTTTCCATTTACTCATTCTTAAAGACAGGCTTTCTCCTAAGGAAATCCCATACATATACAATATACAGCTCCGTATCAAGGAATCTAGTAGTTGAGCTACTTTGTGCACTTTGGGGTGGGAGTATAAATGCCACACATTTGGACTTAAAAAAATTTTTTTTTTTTTTTTTTTTTTTACCTTTATCACCTTTGAAAACTCTCAAACTTTGAACATCAGGTGGAGTGCCACTACTGTTAAGTCACTTCCGGCCATATGAGGTTAAAACAAAAAGCCACTGAAACCTAATGTCCTTACAGCCGTGTTCTTTAAAGGATATACTGTTCAGTGTTTCAGTTGTCTGTTTTCACTAAAACATTTCGGAAGATAACAGAGACAAAAGGCCACAGTGTCAAGTGGGTTTTGATAATTTCCTTTTTAAAAAACAAAGCACATTATTTGCAAGTAACATATTCAATTTTCCTTTGTCTGTAATCAAACCTGAAGACTAAAATTTCCTGGGCCTAGCATGGTCTTCAAAGAAAACAACAGTATCAGAACAGTTGGGTGACAGACTCTACGTGGATCACCAGCTATAGCAAGGACAAAGGTTGTCTGTCTCCCCCTTGGGCAATCCAGTGTGGTAATTAAGAACAGAGGCTCTACAGAGATAGATACAGGTTTGAATCTTGGCTCCAAATTCAAATAACCTTTCACACCCTGTTTCCTAGTCTGCAAATGTGGAAAAGAGCAGTACCTATACTTCATGGGGGTGCTGAGAAAGATAAAATGAGACAGGACACATCATGGATCAGTGCCTGGTACATGTACTCAATAGACACTAGTTCTAATGATTATTTAAAAACAGTCCATGCTTGATTATCAATTCATGGCTAAGGCTGAGTAATGTTCTAATACAAACACTCAGAAATTTAACAGAAACTGGTGTGCACTTTAATGTGAATGTCCTATAATACAGATATAATATTTTGTGTTTAGTTCCTGGCAGTTTAAGTAGGAGTGGACTTAGATTTTATTCTTGGTGCATTTTAAATTAGGAGACAGGCTCTTGACGACAAGTTTATTTCAGCAAACAGTTACTGTCTATTATATGCTAGAAACTGCAAAAAGTGTGGAACCATGGAGATTATTGTGATCTCTCCCCTCAAGGAATTTTTGATCTAACAGAGAGGCAGATGCACAAATAGGTAAGTAGATGGTTGGGAAATGTGCACGTGACAAGGTGCACAGTATAGAGATGTGGCATTAGTTCAGACTAGCAAAAAGCTCAGGGAAGGTTCCTGGAGGAGATACCTGAGAAATAAATAGGGTTTAAGTAGGCGAAGAGAGTAACATAGGCTTTGGAGGCAAATGGGGCAAAAGTAATGAGCATCAGTGTTGAAGAGACAGTAGCATAGCCAGAGAAGACCACTACAGGAATTCAATGTGGTTTCCATAATGGGAGTTAGCAACTGAAAGTGACTAATAAAATAAAAAAAACCCAACCCAGCAATACAGCTAATTTAAAATTCCAGCAAAGTGGGGCACCTCGGTGGCTCAGTCGGTTAAATGACTCTTGGTTTTGGCTCAGGTCATGATCTTAACCGTTCCTGGGGCTGAGCCTGTGTCTGGCTCTGTGCTGACAGCACAAAGCCTGCTTGGGATTCTCTCTCTCTTCCCCTCTTTCTGCCCCTACCCCTGACTCATGCACTCTCTCTCAAAATAAATAAACTTAAAAAAAAAAAATTCTATAAAAGTAAAATGTTAAAAATGCAATCTTTTGTTAAATGTGACTACTGTAGAAGATAAAACTTTTTTTTTCAAGAAACATTTTATTTTTAAAGGTTTATTTTTGAGAGACAGAAACAGAGTCGGAACAGGGAAGGGGCAGAGAGAGGGAGACACAGAATCCAAAGCAGGCTCCGAGCTGTCAGCACAGAGCCTGATCTGGGGCCTGAACCCACGAACCGTGGGATCATGACTTGAGCTGAAGTTGGATGCTCAACCGACTGAGTCACCCAGGCGCTCCAGGAAACACTTAAGATTGTATTTATTTTATTTGAGAGAAAGAGAGCATGAGAACACACAGGGGAGGGGGTCAGAGGGTCAGAGAGACAATCCCAAGCAGGCTCCACACCCAGCACAGAGTGTGATGCAGGGCTTGGTCTCACGACCCTGGGGTCATGACATGAGCTGAAATCAAGAATCAGATGCTCAACTGACTAGGCCAGCCAGTCAGCCACTCTGGGAAGATAAAATTATTTTAAAAATTGATTTGGTTATTGGGGTGCCTGGGTGGATCAGTCGGTTAAGTGTCCAACTTTGGCTCAGGGTATGATCTCACGCTTCATGGGTTTGAGCCCTGCATTGGGCTCTGTACTGACAGCTAGCTCAGAGCCTGGAGCCTGCTTTGCATTCTGTATCTTGTGTGTGCGCGCGCGCTCTCTCTCTCTCTCTCTCTCTCTTAGAAATAAATAAAAACATTTAAAAAGCAAATTGATTTGGTTTTTAAATTACTAGTCTTTCATCATTATGGAGTTTTTTTCTAGTAGCTTCTGTAGGAAGGGTTCATGGGGACAATTCCAAATTCCTGCACATTGCTAATAGCTTGTGCCTATTAAAAGTCCAGTTTTGTGGCATATAAAATCCTTATCTCACATTTTCTTTCCTTGTAACTTTGATGTCAAAACTTGATACGTAATTTTCTTTCAAAGTCATGTTCTCTTTCTTCCCCCTTGTATGTGCAAGGAAGTTTTGTCTTTTACTTTCAAGTATAGTACAATCTTAACAGAATGTTCCTTGGTACTTGTTATTCTGTGTTGATATTCTCATGCAACTTTTCTTTTTTTTTTTTTGTTTTATTTATTTCTGAGAGAGAATGAGAGAGACAGCATGAGCAGGGGAGGGTCAGAGAGAGAGGGGGATACAGAATCTGAAACAGGCTCCAGGCTCTAAGCTAGCTGTCAGCAGAGCCCGATGCGGGGTTCGAACCCACAAACTGTGAGATCATGACCTGAGCCAAAGTCGGACGCTTAACCGACTGAGCCACCCAGGCACCCCATCATGCAATTTTTCAATATGTAGTTTCAAGTCTTTTAAAGAAATTTTCCTTGGGGGCGCCTGGGTGGCTTACTCGGTTTAGTGTACAATTTTGGCTCAGGTCATGATCTCATGGCTCATGGGTTCAAGCACCGCGTCAGACTCTGTAACACCTCAGAGCCTGGATCCTGCTCTGGATTCTGTGTCTCCCTCTCTCTCTCTGTCTCTCAAAAATAACTAGAAACACTAATAAAAAAAGAAATTTTCCTTGATTTATAGTTTTAAATATTTGTTTGTTCCTTTGCTTTTTCAGGGATTTGTTATCCATATATTCACTACTATTTGCCACCTTTCCTTATTTTTTAAAAATGTTTATTTTGAAAGAGAGAGAGAGAGAGAGAGAGAGCAAGTAGGGGAGGGGGAGAGAGGGAGACCCAGAATCTGAAACAGCTCCAGGCTCTGAGCTGTCAGCACAGAGTCAGATGTGGGGCTCGAACTCATGAACCACGACACCATGACCTGAGCTGAAGTCAGACCCTCAACTGACTGAGCCACCCAGGCATCCTTGCCACCTTTTTTACCTTCCATTTCTTTCTGGTTTAAAAAACTGGCTTTTTTTTGCCTACCTTTCCTAAAGCATTTAGGAAAGCATTTCCTAAACCTTACCTGTTATTTGCTCTTATGTTTCTCCTACTTAAATCTCCATTTCTGAAATAATTTTTATTTATAATTAAAACCTTTTCCTGAGCGGTCACTTCAGTTGAGTTTTACTGATGCTGATTATGTTTTTCTTAATGTCTTCTAGCTCATTTTGAAATAAGTTATTAACTTCTATCACAAGCACATCTTTCTGGCATGCTTTAGGAATGTCATCATTTTCTTATAACATTGTATGGCATTTGACCTTGGTACTTGTCTGTCGCTTGCTTTTATAATCTGTTTTCGACTTTGAGCTTTCCAAGATTCCTCTCTACTTGGGTCTGGTCTTTCTCTCTTCTCTCAGGTTCTTACCCTGCTCAATTTTGTTTCCCCTGCAGAAGTTCCTCCTTAGTGGGGGTGCTTGTCCTGCAAGGGAGTCCCACTGAGTGTTTTGAGAGCTCTCTGGGGCTAGACTGCTACAGCCCCTCCAGTCCTCCTTAGTGCCAGTACCTTATAATCACCCGCCGCTGGAGAGGACCACACCCTCTCAAGTTCAGCTGCCATTCTTAAATGGACTTGCTCCACTTTCCAGGGAACACTTGTGGCTATGTTCAGCTTCTCCTTCTCTCAGGGCTGTCAGATGCCAATACTGTTGCTTGCATGCTTCTTTCAGCATGTTTACTGACACCATGCATTTTACGGTTCATGAGGATACTCATTCAGTTTTTAAAAAAATGTTTTAAAAATGTTTTTATTTATTTTGAGAGAGACAGAGCATGAATATGGGAGGGGCAGAAAGATAGGGAGACACAGAATCCGAAGCAGCTCCAGGCTCTGAGCTGTCAGCATGGAGCCTGTCATGGGGCTGGAACTCATGAACTGTGAGATCATGATCTAGGCCGAAGCTGGACGCTTAACCAACTGAACGACCTGGGTACCCCCAGGTTTTTAAAAATAATTTTTTTTTAATGTTTACTCATTTTTGAGAGAGAGAGAGAGAGAGAGAGAGAGGCAGAGCACAAGTTGGGGAGAGGGAGACACAGAATCTGAAGCAGGCTCCAGGCTCTGAGCTGTCAGCAGATGCGGGGCTTGAACGCACAAACTGTGAGATCATGACCTAAGCCGAAGTTGCAAGCTTAACTGACTAAGCTACTCAGATGTCCCTGTCATCGAGTTTTATTATAAATAATGATCGTTTTTTGGTTTTGCAATTTAGTTAACTATGTTTTTGTGGGAATTGGAAACTCATTGATGCCTTTGATACCACTTGGCTTAAAATAATATCCATTTTGCTTAAAATAATGTGGGGTACAGCTGGATGAAAGTCAGATGTGAGTTTTACTTTAATTGAAGGAAGTGACAAAATGATTCTGTTTTTCCCCCCTATTGCTTAAATGTGAAGAGCTAATCAGATTCACTACAAAGGTTTAAAGTTGAACCATATGAATGCTATTTTTATTTATTACGGTGGGTGAATGAATGATGGTAATTTTACATGGTTCAACCTAATACATACTGGTATCAATCAGGTCCTTTCAGATTACTGCATAGAGGCCATACAAAGAGTCAAGACTCTACCATTAACATAGAACACAACATCATTTCATTTTGTGTTCATAAATTTCTAATAGTAATGCCTTAATTATTTGGTACTCCTCTGGGTTTCTATTTCACCATCCCTTCAGGCTGCACCCTCAATAGAGACAGCCTCTGCTCATTTCTTTTAAATATTATGTCCTCATTCCTCTAATTTTCCCGTTTAGATTTTGAGTCTAGACAAGGTCCTCTGCTACTATATGCATGTGGATGACACTCTCATCTTCTGCCTGTCTTTGGCATTTATTTAATTAAATTCTATATGGCATTCTTATAAAACAGATGCTTTACTCACTCTAATTGGTCACAAAGGCAACTTCCTCTGGAGGAAATCTTTGGCTCTGTGCTATTCCTGTCTCAAATAGCTTATAGTGATTGACCTACCCTGCACTTAGTTTTGTTTCTATAAACCTTTCGTGAGAGCCACTTCTAGCCAAACTCTTAGATCCATTTCTTCCTCTTTAATGGCAGAAATATATTCCAACACATTCCACTTTAATAAATTAATTCACTCATTTTATGCATTCTCACTCTGAAGTTCACAAGTAACTATATCCCTCCCCAACACTAATACATACGAGCTCTTAATTTGCATTTAAAAAAAATTTTTAATGATGAGAACTTAAATTTTTAATGTTTATTTTTGAGAGAAAGAGACAGAGAGAGAGAGAGAGAGACAGAGAGAGAGAGAACACGCAGGGAAGGAGCAGAGAGAAAGGGAAACATAGAATGTAAAGCAGGCTCCAGGCTCTGATTAGTCAGCAGAGCCCGATGTGGGGCTCGAATTCATGAACGAATGGTGAGATCATGACCTGAGCCGAAGTCGGACACTTACCTGACTGAGCTACCCAGGCGCCCCTTAATTTGTACTTTAAAAATTTTTAGTGATTCTTCAATTACCTATCTGCTCACAGATATTAATACTAATATTAATTAATACTAATATTAATGTATGTATTAATACTAATATTGTAATCTGCAGATAAAGGTGTCTCATACATTACTATCACATGTGACAAAAAAACCCCGAATGCATGTAGACATTTAAATTTCTGTAGTCAAATATGAAGTTAACCACCGGTGGCATTTAAAATATTAATCCTTACAAACGCTACCAGAAAGTACTGTATTATGAAATAGATATTTCTCTTAGTTCTTCCATGACATCTGGCAATATTCATGTAAGCAATATTCTTCTCCATATTGCTTACCTCAAGAATATTGGGAAGAAAGGAACATTGATAGCAAAATAAATTAAAAACAATAACAACACCACCACCACAAAACCCAGAACTTTTCTGTACTAATGTTCTATGACAGATCTTTCTGCATCGGCATTCATGACTGAGAAAAACTACCAATACAGCAGGTACAAAAGTGGTTCACATTGTAAAAGCAAATCTAAAATTCATTTCATTTTGGGGTTCCCCAGAGAATTTACTAAAGTACAGAAATTCCACCAACACTTCGGTATACCATTATTTGCAGTTGCCCGGGTACTATGATGAATGTATGTGGGGGAAATGATCACTGTTGTTTTCATACCAACTGTTCAGAGGCCACAAGCTTAAGGAATTTTTTGATGAAGTCAATGAGTCCTTGAATGGTTCGGGTTCGCTCTACAGCCCACTTCTTTGTTTTCATTATAGGGGTGTCTCCCACAGCCTTCAACAGGACATCAACTGTTAAAGAAAAAAAAATACTGAGCATCCAAAGAGAATGTTATATAAAAGACTTCAGAAAACTTAAACCTTTAATCTACACACAGTTTATGCATTTATGATACTGGAGGGATGTCTCAGATGCAGAAATGTTAGGCGATACTCTTTTTCAACAAACTTTTGTGGATTTTCCCCCATGATTCTACAGTCCCACAAAGATCTCCCCATGAAACTGACCTTTAGAATGTATTTGGACATAATGGGCAATTCCAAAGAGAATAAATGTAAGTATCTGGTCAATAAAGATATGACAAAATCTTTAAGATCATGTCATGGCCTTTTTCAAAGACCAAACTAGCAAAATTACAATAACTGTGTAGACACGATTACTGGTGGGAAAGCAAATGGTATATATACATTTTCTGGGAATTATTAGGATAATATATATCAAGTACTTAAAGATACACTTTGACTCATAACACTTCTAGGACTCTAGTCTAAGAAAATATAAGATGTGAAAAGAGTCACTTAGAAGAATTTCACCTTTGCTGAAGAATTCATTTTTACATAAACAAACAAAACTTGGTAATACTTAGAAGAGATTGGTTAAATGAAGGATATTATACTCTCTGATAGAATTTAAATAATACAGTAAAGCACACACATTCTAAACTCCCTGGATTTAAAATCCTGGCTCTGCCACTTATTAGGTATCTATATCTATATATGGATAAACTTTTCTTTTAAAAAGATGTATTCATTCATTCATTTAGAGAGAGGAAGAACATGTAGGGGAGTGGCAGAGACAGAGAGGGAGTGAGAGAACCCCAGGCAGGCTCCATGCTTTCAACACAGAGTTGATGCAGGGCTCAAACCCACAATCCGTGGGATCATGACCTGAGCTAAGATCAAGAGTCAGAAGCTCAACTGACTGAGCCACCCAGGTGGCCCATGCATAAGCTTTTTAATCTCTTTGGGCCACAGTTTCTCCATTTGTAAAAGGAGGATAATATCATCTACATCATAAGGTTGTTGTCAGGATTAAATGAGTTAATATGTGTAAAGTACTTAGAGCAGTATCAGCTTATACTTACTGAACCTTAAGATTAAGCGGCCATTAGAGAAACACATTATAAAAGAACATTTAACAGTATGACTAGGTTATCAAAATACGCTAAATATAAAACAGCATGTATAGTAGGATATCGATTTCATTAAAACCATCACAAACACCTATTCACATAAATGTGAAACAAACATGCACCAACATGCTACTCCTCAGTAGAGACATTATAGATGATCATTTGATTTTATTTGTGCTTTTTGTAACCACCAAATTTTTCACAATGAATGTAATAAAGGAAAATAATAGAAGGCGATAGAAAGTACTAGATAATTTCAGATAAATTGTTTCAATAACCCAAAATATCAATGCTAATAACGCAAAGACTATGAATCTTTTTCCTAAAGTTACTTTGCTTAAAACAAACAAAACAAAAACCCCAGACATCCACAATCAAAAGGAACACTGAAAGCAAAGTAGTGTACTGCTGCCCCCTAGAGTTAGCGCTCTTCTATTACACCCTCCTTGACTTCTCCGGTATGAAAAATGGATGGAGATTCCCAACAGGTCATTGAAATCAATTTATTCAAAGCTTACTCCTGGAATGAAGGCACTAGAACACAGGACACAAACAACTTATATTCTTGCTAAAGTTCATCTTCCTTTCTCTATTTAGTAATTATAGCTTCAGTCATCTAAACAGGATGAATTGGGAGGTAACAGATGATTTTGGTGGACTCACCTTCCATACCTCCCCTCATTCCCTGGGGACTATCAACAACTCAATTGTAACTGGCTACTTCAGTGAAGGGAAGCAGAAAATATTGTGGGGTATATATGCTGCTGAAGGAAGAAGTGTGGGAAGACAAAAAGCTAGAAAAGGGAAAGTTACTTATTGCAACTATACCTTAACTTCTTCTTTTTTAAAATTCTAAATGCGATTTGCTTAGAGTTCTCAACCCTAGCTGTATATTAAAATCAACTAGGGGAACATTTACAATACAGATATCTCTGTCAATTAAATGAGAATCTTTTTGGAAGTAGGGCATTGGTACATTCAAAAGCTCTCCCAGATCATCCTAAAGAGTTCCTAAAGATTCCTTCAAGAATCTTTATTCTTCTGTAGATTAAAACAAAGCGGATCATAGGAAATACTGAAGCTTCTTACATCAGAAGAGATCCTCAAAAAAGGGACAATTTCAGGGTAGAAATTAAATAGTTAGCAACTAAGTTTTACATCATAGACAGAAACTCCAGAAAATGAAAATATGATCTTTCAAAGGTGGTTTAAAGAAAAACAAAGCCCCCCCCCCCCCAAAAAAAAACCTATGCAGACTAAAGAAAATATGCCATATAAACTGAGTCCATATCTGGGTCGTGAGCCTTTATTTTTTCGCCTCTGCTTTACTCAGCTATCTTCACTGTCAAGCAGTAAGCTTTAGACTAAGGCTGTTAAAGCCAAAAAACAAAAGAACCTTTGAAAAGTCTGTTCCTGGTTCCAGCAAAAAGAAAAAAAAAATTCCACGAATCTGTAAAAAATCACGGAATTCTTCAGCAATAAAGATTCTAGTGCTTATCTACACAAATAATCTTAGGTTTCTGTTTCTCTGCTAATGTCTCATGTGGCAATGACACGTGTTTTCCCCAGATGTAGAGGCGATCTGACTTAAGAAGGAGACAGTGCTGGGGTAGTCAATTCTCCGAAAGCAACAGCAACCCAACGCAGTTCTACTGAGAAGCTGTGAGATCAGGAAGTGTAAAAACATGCCATGCCCAAACTTTAAAACTCTTGGAGTGAGAAAAGCTGCCTGACGCCCACGGTCAAACAATCCGAACCGTAATTGCTCACTTGAGGGCTTTTTCATCTGCAACTCTGCATACTGTGCTCAAGGACAAGATTTCGGCAGGATTTTCCGTATTTTACAACGGCGAACCAATTCTCAAGCAATAAGGGCTGCGGGTTCAAGCAATGAAATGACTCGCTTACAAAGGCTCCAAAACAGGCTGATGGGGGCGGGGGGGAAACGACGCCCTATGCCTTTGGTTTTTTCTGCACATTCTGTATTCTTGATCAAATTTCAGGGTTTTTTTTGGTACAAGGAATACATTCACGCGCCGTTGGTACAAAAAACGACGACACAGCCGGAAGGCGTACGTTCTAATCCAGGCATGCTACCGATCATCCCTAGCACCATAAGTCATTGATCAAATAATGAGATCCCCTATGAAGAACCTGGAGCCACCGAGATCCCACTCGGCTCCCATCTTCAACGAGCTCGCAGTCTGACAACCGAATGCAAGAGCCGAACGCAGTGTAGGAAGTACCGTGGCAGCCAAGTACCCGGCACCACACTGAGAAGGTGGGTCCAGAGATGGCTCTCTAGAGAAGGACTCGCCTCAAAGGTCTCGAAAGCCGAAAACTACACTTCCTCTCTCCTGACTGGTCAAAAGCCACGCTCGGGACCAGCCCTCTCAGTTTTGCTTCTTTATTGGCCGCCAGGGACCTAGTCGGACGCACTCTAAACCTCCCGCCACTGCCTAGAAGGAAACTGCTCTCAAAATTACTTTTTTTCTTGGTGTCGCCGGCAGGTTCCTCCGTTCCCGGGGAGACTGCAGCGGAAGAAGGGGGCTCCGGAGTGGCTGTTTCTGGGGAGACCTCCGTAGGTCCTTCGCCATCAGTAGTACTTGAGGGAGGTAGCTGCAGCGCCGACTCGGGCTCCTCAGCCATCTTGCAAAGTGGAAGGCGAGGGCGGAAGTGGTGGCGCAGCGCGTGCAGAGGGCGGGCTTTACGCCGGGGCCGTCGCTACGGAGGCTCCGGAGTGGGCGGGGAAGACCCAACCCAACGGTGCTAATTGGAGCTGCCGGTTGGTCGTCTATGTGGAACCTGTCGCAAAGCCCTGACTGTTTACCCACAACTACGGTTTTCTCACAGCAACAGCCCCCGGAAGGAGTCACTGAACCACGTACCCGCGCCCCGCCAAGCGCGCAAGCGCCTGACAAGTGGGCTCGGGGCCCGAGATGTTTCCGCTTCCCTTCGCGCCGGCCCCGCCCCGGCCCCTCCCCGGCCCCGCCCCGCGGCTCGGGAGCGCGCGCGCGCGCGTGCGGGAGGGGGCGGGTGGGGAAGGATCGCCGGCGAGATCCCGAGGCGAGGCTCGCGCGCCCGCCCCCGCCCTGGCCCCCAGCGCCCACCCGGTCGGCCCGGCTCAGCCATGATCAAGGCGATCCTCATCTTCAACAACCACGGGAAGCCGCGGCTCTCCAAGTTCTACCAGCCCTACGTGAGTATCCCGCCGCCGCCGATCCGCGAGACGGGGAGTCGTTGGCGCCTGGCAGCGCCCTCAGGGCGACCCCCTCAGGCGCGCCCTCGGCCCTCCGCGCGCCCCGGCCACCTCGCGCTTCCCTGGCTGTCAGCCTCCCGCCGGGCGTGAGCCAGGTGCCCACCTACCGCCGCGTTCCCGTGATCCGACGGGGCTCTGCCCGGGCGGCTGCTCCGCCCGTCCGTGGGCTGGGTGGCTCCCCGGCGGCGCGGGCGAGGCCCTGGGGACTGCCCGGCGCGGGGCCCTCGGCGGTTGGGCGGCCGTAGCCCCCCTGCGCCCACGAGCCCACCCGGCCTTCCCTCCGCCCGCGGCTCCTGTGCGCGCCGAACCCCACCTCCCCGACTCGCAGCCTTTCCTGGTCGACTTCTTTCCCTCCTCCTGTGGACAGATGGGCTGCTGTTTCCCCCCCCGTAATCCTCTGGTCGCGGAACTTGGCTTCCTGCGATCGGCCGAGCGCTCGCCCTGTGCGGTTTCCCCTGTGTTGGCCATACAGCCATCGGCCGCCGGGTGTGACTTTCAGGTGTCTCCTTATTAAAGAAAATGAGATGTGAGGACCTAACCTTTCCCTCGGGCTTCTCCCCTAGTGGCAGTAAATTAGGTCCTGCAATAACTGGCGTGGCGACGTGTGGCCGCTCAGAACGGTCGACTTCTCTCTACCTGAAAGTTAACGATGTCCGCTTGCCGGTCTGGCATTTCCCTGCCGAAGGGGATTTGCCCTCATCTGTAGCTTTCCTCCCACTTAGGAGGAATAGTCCTATTCCTGAAACTCTTTTGACAAGTGTAAACGTTGGGGAAAAAAACGCAGGCGGCTTTAAGGGAGTAAGGATAATTAATGATCGAGGGAAGGTTACAGACGTAGGTGCCCATCTGGGGGCAAAATTCACCACCGGGTAGAACATCAAATTGAGCTATCAGTGTTGGGATTCGTGGAGAGATACAAGTATTGGGTCTTCTTGGGCATTTTGCTTAGAGTCAGAAATGGACTTTCAATTAAAGATTGAACTCGTGCCAAGGCTGACACTTCTCTGCAGATAAGCCCCAGATGGAAAGGATTGTTTGCCGTTAAAAATTAAATGTGAAAATGTCGCTTTGCTGAAAAGGATAATGCAGTCTGTGGAGGTGTTAGTTGAAGTGAGAAATCTTGAGCTTATTCCTCATTTTCTTAAGTGGTTTTGTTTTGCTAGCGATAAAAGAATACTTTCTCCTATTCCGGCTTGGTTTTCGTGTGTGGTATCATTCAAACACTCCTGCTCTGTTCACGAACACAACATCATTTTTCAACCCAGAATAAAATGGTAGTTGATCCTTTGGACTGGGAAGAAAAATATCCTTAACTTTACATTGTTACCCATTTGCCTAAAATACAGTACTAGCCTTTACTGAAGGAAGGCTTTTCTTAACCATGTTGTGTTGGTTGTCCATTTGCAATATAGAAAAGGTACGTTGCAGTAGAGAAATCGAAGTGTGTTTTTTTATACCTATGCCTAATAAGTAATCATTATTCAAAACGGTTAAGTTTCACGGAAATTCGTAATGTCAGACTAACCACTCGTGTAATGCAGAATTTAAACATCTGCAGAAAAACGTATTTAATTTGGAAATCCAAGAATACATCTTTCTCTTCTCCAAAAATGAATTAGAAATACCTTTTGCCTTTACTTGGAGGTGACAGGGAAGGTTAATCCGGGAAGGCCTTTACTTGGAGGTGACAGGGAAGGTTAATCCAGGAAGAGACCGTTCTGGCAGTCGCGGCGACTCTGGTGTCATTTTTGGCCGTTGCATTAGTGACAGTGTTACTGGGGACAGGGAGCTAAGAGGTGTGAGAAGAACCTCGTGCTCACTGGACGTGGAGAAGTGAGGATGCCAGGAGCGTTTTCTGTACGTTAGTCTTTTATACATTGGGTTTTGCCAACTATTTTTTTTCATTCAAAAATAATGTAACATTGGAGCACCTGGGTGGCTCAGTCAGTTAAGCGTCGGCTTGGGCTCTGGTCATGGTCTTGTGGAAAGCAGGTTCAAGCCCCATGTCAGGCTCTGTGCTCATAGCTCTGAGCCTGGAGCCCGTTTCGGATTCTGTGTCTCCCTCTTTCTGTGTCCGCCCCCTGCTCACACTCTTTCTCTCTCCCTCTCTCTCAAAAATAAACATTAAAAAAAGAAAAGAATAATGTCACATTTATTTGCTTCCACTACATCGGAACTTGTTGGAGGGCAGAAATCTTTTTTATTCATTTATCCCATTAGCCAGTTTGCCAGCATATATTCATTTTATGTCTACCATGTCCAGCTGCTGTTTTAAAATTTGGAAATGAACAAACATAACTTCTCTTTCGGCAGGGGATGGACAAAGCTAACACATACTGTGTCAGATGGTAGTAAGTGCTGTGGAGAAAACAAAGTGGGCATGGGTGATGGGGTGACAGGGACCGTGAGGATGACCATTTAAAATAGGGGAGTCATGGAAGTTCTCACTGAGAGGGTGACGTTTGAACAAAGCCTTGAAGGAGTTAAGAAAGCCAGCCTATGGGTATCTAAGGGAAGGTCATTCCTGCAGAGGAAGCAGCAGGTGCAAAGGCCCTGAGGATGGAATGCCTGTTTGAAGATCCAGAACACCGAGACCTGGTGTGGCCCAAGCAGACTGTGTAAGGAAAGAGTCCTCGGAAACGAGGTGTATTTGTATAGGGCTTCAGAGTTTATTTTCTTCTCACTGCCTGGACTGTCCTTCCCTTCCATTGCCAGATGTCCAGATTTGACCTCTGTGCCACATTTAACTCAAAAATCACGTAAGCATTTCCTGAACCATTATTATCTTGCTGGATGACACCTCATGGTTCTTAGGGTTTTATTTTTATCTTTCTTAATGGTACAATATTCGGTTTCACAGCCTGTAATTGCTTGGGGCATCCTATAGATTCCTTGAGAGAAGGGATCAGGTTTTACATATATCTGTGTCACCCCCAGCAATCACCATTGAATCCTGAATGTAGAAAGTTCTCAAAAATCTTTGCCTAACAGATTCATTGGATTCTCCTAGCTTAATGTGGAGTCTGGATTAGAAGTGACTTCCTGGGGCTCCTTCCAACTTCTAACGTTTTGTCCTTCATTAACCAGAGGTTTTAAGAATTCATACCTTCAGGGGGCGCCTGGGTGGCTCAGTCCGTTAAGCATATGACTTGGGGTAGGATCATGATCTCCTACTTTAGCTGTTTGAGCCCCGCGTCGGGCTCTGTGCTGACAGCTCAGAGCCTGGATCCTGCTTCGGATTCTGTGTCTCCTTCTCTCTCAGTTCCTTCCCCACTTGCGCTCTGTGTCTCTGTCTCAAAAATAACCAAATATTAAAAATAATGAAAATAATTCATGTCTTCAGGATAAAAGCAATGGTGAAATAGCTGTTACTTCAGCGGTTTCTGTTTTATGTTGAAGAAGTTTCTAAGAAGTATATATTCCATAATATTGACAGTTTTGAGTTTATGAAGCAGTACCTAGGAGTGTGGTCCTGATAAGATACAGAGATTTGAGTCCAACAGAAATGGTTGAACAGTGAGCACTTGGAAAACTATTGAACCATTTGCCAACCAGTGTCTCTTACTGCACTGAATTTCCATTTCTCGTTTATCGTTCCTCATGATAGAGCAATTTATATGTTCATCTTTACTCTTTAGTAGTGCAGATTTCCTTTTCCTGCTGTAGTAGATTTTTAGATTTGATTGTTCCTCCAAGGTGCTGTGAGGTTTGATGTAGATGAAGCCACACACCTGTTTCGCTAAACTGAAATTTTTTATTCATTTTGCTGGAGTCACATGTTAAGAATTCAAGGGTGAACTCAGAATGTCATCACTTCATGTTTCTGCCCTCTGTATCCTTGAGCTATAACTGCAGAAGTTCAAACGTTTTCCTTGGTTTAATTGTTTCTCTAATTGATGTTCAGCCCCAGCAACTTGGCAACAATAAACTTTAGTCTTTTAATATTTGCCTGGCGGTATTTGTGTATTACTATAAAGGACTAATGGGATGTATAGTTCATAAGCCAGCTTTATTTTTACATAGCCATCAAAGAAATAAAACCCTTGGGTTTTGATTCCTGTGTTATTAATAAACTATGACACATCGCTTTAAATAAAGTAAAAGAGTTTTTCTTTTGTATGAATTATGGTAGTTTCCACAGATACAAAAGACTGCACGTAGAGCATGCATTGTTCATACTGAGTTGCAAACTGTTGCATATGTGAGTTGCCTCAATTGTCTTAGAAGCTAAAAAGATTATTATTGTTTGTCAACTAAATACAGGCCCTAGAAGGAAACTAAGATTGTTCTTTCCTTTTTTGAATTGGTTTACGTGAAAAGTAAAAATTACAAGTATGTGCAAGTTTTTCTCCTTTAAAAATTTTTTAAAAATGTTTATTTATTTTTGAGAGAGAGCACACAAATGTGTGTGCCAGCACGCAT